ACTCAGCCTGGCTTCCTGCTGGATCTTCACAGTGCTGGGCTACCTTCCTGGAGAGAACCGAACTCCAGGCTGCGCCGATGCCTGTGGTCCACCAGGGCAGAGCAGTAGCCCATCAGGATGCTTCAGAGGTGGATGCGTCTGAGTTCCATGACATCGGGGACATGGCCCCACTCCTGTTCTGGAGGTCCCGGGCCTGCTGAACCTCTTGTACCAGGTCGGCCACCAGGTTCATCTGGCAGGCCCTGAGAGCCGCCACCAGGCAGGCCACCGTTGCGTTCTCCCTCTCCGTGTTCTTCCAGACTCTCAGTGACTCCCGCACGCGCTCCGTCAGGTTGCGGGGGTATCTGTCCTCGATGCCGTCGATCTTGGCGTCTGAGACTTTGAGCTGACGAGCCAGCCTTCTCCAGTCTTTCCCCACATTATCACATATGACGTTAAATGCTGCACACAGGTCTGAGAAGGAAAGAACAGAGCGGTTTACCGGGGGTTTGGAGACAAGCAACCCCGCAACCCTCCCCAGGGCTTTTCAGCACTGACGCCGAGTGCTCAGGGGACAGAGGTACCTACACGAGCTCCTCCACAGAGGCTAGAGTCGCCTGGCAGCAGAGGGGCTGTCACCAAATGCCCAAGAGTGGCCTGATTCCACCTCAGGCAAACCCCCTGCTCTCCAATACTATCCTAGGAGGTGTGGCCCACTGAAGACTCAAGTGCCAAAGGAAGCTGCAGTAGAGCTACCTACTGACGGCAGGAGACACTGAGGGATGGGCTGGGGAGTTGTCGGAGGGAAGAAAATAGGGTTGATCCCACATCCTGCCCTACAGCAGGTTGAATGATGTCACCTCAAGGGATGTTCATGTGAAACTGCTGAAACTATGAAGGTTAACTTCTTTGGAAAAAGGGTCTTTGCAAAGGTAAGCTGAGGGTCTTGAGAGATCATCCTGGATGCCCTGGATGCACCAGTGACAGGCATCCTCGTAGGAGACACACAGGGAAGGCTGTGTGAGCCTGGAGTGAAGCGGCCACAAGACAAAGAATGCCTGGAGCCACCACAAAGCGGAAGAGACGTGGACGGACCCTCCCCAGCAGCATTCAGAGGGTGTGCGGGTCGGTGGCACCCTGCTTGTTCAGCTTTCTGGCCTCCAGACTGAGGGGATAGATTTCTGTTGCTTTAGGCCACCAGATTTGTGATCATTTGTTATGGCAATCACAGGAAACTAGCAGGCACTCCAATTGTTATTGTGAAAGCTGCCCCGACTGACCACCAGTCTTCAGTCCCTAGCTACCATACTCCTCATCTGCTGACATCACCACTGAGATCAGGGAGCTGGTCACAAGACCATAAAAGGCCGTTTCTGGAACATGAAGAGAGGAAAGGAGAGGCAGCACAGGGTGCTGCTTGGACTGCTCCTGGCAATTCTGAGACACCATTAGCAGGTGTACCAGCTCCTGCAGCTCTGACAGCCGTGTGGGCTGGGCACTGTGTTACGACGGTACAGATGAGGAAACTCAGGCCCAGGGAAGCTGATGGACATTCCTGAGATTGTGTAGCTAACCGATGGCAGAGCCATGTTCTGAAACCCTGACAGTGCAGTGCCAAAGTCCACCCTTAACCACTATGCTGAACTTCTGGGAAGGAGGAAGGCAGATCACCTACTACCAACCTGCCTACACCCACTGTTCACGTTCTGGTGTACTTCTTCCAGCACACAGTTAACTACGTGACGACACAAACCAAGCACACATACATCTCAAATGTCAGCTACGTTTCGTGGACCGCCTTTAAAATGCAATTTATCAGTGTTTTTCCAGACATTAAATATCCATGAATCCCGTCCTGTTTTGCTTGTTCAGCACTTTCGTTTTTTTAAAATCTGGACTTGACTGTTTTCAGGCAGAGCTGTTCTGTCCATCCCGCCCTGAACAGGCACTAGTCCTTATAGAGTGAAACCCATGGTGTCACATTGATGCCCTGATTCGTGACTGAATGGTGGATTCCAGGCCACAGTTTGAAAGCCTCTGAGAGGCGTCCCCAGTGTACTCCCAAGCCTCTGCCCCCTCTGAGAACAAGGGGGTAGGGCTGAGAAACTGCTGTACTCAGGGTTTCTCATTTTTATCCTGGAAGCTGCCGCAAGCCACAGGCGAGGGTGGAGAGGGAGTGACCGAGAGCAGGACAGGAAGCCACTCCACAATGACCTTGACCAGAGTGGCAGTGCAGGGGCTAACACCACCCATCCGGAGGCCGGACTGCTCGGTTCAAGCCTACCTCTGTTAGTTATCGGCTGCGCATTTCCGCAAGCCGCTTGACCTGTGAGCCACAGTCCTGTCCTCCGTAAAATGCGAACAGTGACAGGTAACAGGATCTCAGCCACAGGGCTACTGCGAAAATTATATTTGGCAGTTAGAGGGGTAAGCGGCACACTGTAAGTCCCTGGGTAAGAGTTACTGAATGACAGTATTACTCTCAGACAGCCGAGAACGGCATTCCCTGGATATATTCCGAGACAGAAGGGAAATGATGCGAGCAGGCTCACGCAACCTCTGCCCCTTCCCCGCACCTTCTCTGACTCCTCCTCACCTTTTCTTCAGTGAGTTTTCTAATTTACCCGGGCAGAAAGGGGTGGAAGAAAAAGAACTGAGCGTGTCCAGGCCCTGCAACCTTGAGTAAGTGAACTTTTCTGCGTTTTTGGCTCTCCCATCTGCAAAGACAGGGCTGAACGGAGAAAACCCACGCAAATCAAACCCGGCAAAGGGGAGGCGTCTAGAGGCCAACGGGAGGAGCCTCGCAGCACCTACACCCGGACGACCAGGCCCTGGCTCCCTCGGCCCGACCCGGAGCCCACCTTCTTCCCCAGGCGCGGCCCCGGCCGCCACCCCCGCCTCGAAGTCGTCGAGGCGCCGCAGCAGGTCGTGGCGCCGCAGGGAGGCGAGCAGCTCGCGCAGGAGGTCGGTGTGCCCGGGCTCCAGGTCGTTCTGCTCCAGCAGCACGGAGAAGAGGTCCAGGCCGCTCTGCACGCGCTCCAGCTTGCGCTTGCCTACGCGCCCGAGGCATAGGAACTTGAGCTCGGTCAGCTCGCTGCTCGACAGGCTGGACGACACCGAGTGCAGCAGCACCAGGAACGGGTCCATGGCGGGGCCTGCAGGCGGCCGGGGCT